CGGAATGTGTAAAGGAATTTGGTCAAAAAAATAACTTTGTTAAATTATATTGAAATCAGTTCAGGTTTTAATGTTATTTAATTAAAAATCTTAGACCCACAACGCCTTTGCAATGGTGTTAGAGTAAAGAGTAAAAAAAACTACATAACAATTTAATTAAGGCTACGATTATTACGGGGAAGTATGTAGGTTCAGTTTTATTGCTACCTCGAATCCCTCTAAGGGCAAAAAATGTCTTTCAATTTTAATGGAATATAGAACGCTTGACATTTGTTATGACAATTAATAAATCCCAAGTACAAATTCTTCATGTATGCGGATTAAATTGGACATTTTCCTGCTTTTCTCATGATCTATACCCGGCATATTCACGCGTTGCTAGAACGAGGCATTTGTTTTTTTACGCCCTTGAATGAAAAAAAAAAATAAATTTAAACTTAAGGAAATAGACCAAATCGATAAGAAGTGGATAATACTGGTCCACTCTTTCTGTATATCCTCCATAAAGGGTCAACATACCTGCTGATTTCTTACTGAAAGTGAGATTAAAGAAAATGATTAATTCAGGGAAACATTATATCGCTTTGAAATTTTGCTCAGACATTTATATTAGCATGTTTGGTATTAAAAAATGGGACATATCGGATCTCGTTTCGGTATGGCCCTCAACTAACAGTACTTCCTACTAATTGCCAATATTTTAAATGTTTTGACCACATTTGTAATCCAAGTTGACATTTAGAGTTCTGAGTATATATAATATCTTCATGCTAATACTTTTCAAGATTGCTCCAGTTGTTGGTATAAGCACCGTATTACTGTTCCTCCTAATTTTTTTGGTATTTTAAAGGGTTCAACACCACTTTCAAATTGACATTTTGAATTCTGAGCTGAACGCATATCTTCCCGCTAAATTTTTTGAAGATAGTTCCACAATTATATTTTAACCATATATAACGACACTTCCAATTTGTAGGTATTTTGAGAATCTCTACCTGAAAAATGTGTAAATTTATGTTCACTATTACATATAGGTTCTATATATAGAGACACTTCTTTATTTTTGGTATTTTGAGATTTTCAGAGGGAGTTTTTACTTTTTGGTATTTTGTTTCTCATTGGATAAAAGCTAAATAAATTGCCAATATAGAATCAAAGTTCAACTAGGTCTCTATAGGGCCCAATGTTGTTAGATCCCCAAAAAACAGAGATAAATTCAAAGGAAGTATTTCATTATTCCCATTAATTTGTTTTTTTCTTTTTTTTTTTCAATTTTCATATCTAAATCAGTAAAAAATAACAAACTTTGAGTTAAGCCAGGAAAAAAATTATCCCTTAGAAAACCTTCATTAAGCTGAAGACTTTGACTAAATATTTGTATGCCTTCCTATATATGAAATTGATCAAAATCTCAATAATATATTTAAAAAAGAATATGTAACAAGGGCTATATTGTTTGCATTACTTTTAGGGCAGAAAGTGGCTTATGTTGGTATTTGGTTTTTGCCCGGTAGAGACATTGGTACGAATTTTCACTAAAGTTTAGGATATATTGATCGCCAACCACTTTTTTGTTCTATTTATTCAGTTAGATTTACAGGTTAAATAGAATATTTGTTTATAACTGCATACCGAAACCATTAATCAATTTTCCAATTTCCATATATAATTAAAAAACTTAGTTTCACACAACAACCTTCTGTGCAAAAACTAATCGATTCCCAACACATGCAATTTCAATATATCTTTATAGCTAATGTATGTGTGTTATTGCTCTCCTTTTCGCCATTTTATCTAATCAGAATTAAAATGTGAACAAACAACATCAACATGGCAAGAGAGATAAAGAGAGAGAGCGAGGGCAATAAAAACTCTAATGAATGGTTATCATTATTCTTGTCAGGACCAATCCGACACAGCTGCTGCTAACAGATACAACTCAATTTTGAACGTTTACTAATAACCTCGATACTGACCATTTGCTTGGCAATTCTATTTGCCTTGTCTGAGTTTATTTTTCACACTCTTCTTCGTGGCCACTTTGGCTTTTCTCGTTGCAGCATTGCTTTGCATGACTCCCATTGAAATGGCACAAAGCCATATATAAGTTACGTGCTAATGATGATGACCTCTTACTTTGGATGCGGGGGAAATGGTGAAAAAAAGACAACAAATTAGAAAAAATGTTGGAATTAGTTAAAGGAGGAACTCTTTCAACGACCGTTGTCTTTTATAACTTTATGATAAAGTGGGAGCATTGAGGGAAGTTTTCCACCATTTTTGTATATGCATTTTACTTTAAAAAGTTCATTTTTTTTTCTTGTTGGGCTCCAGAAATAAATTTCTGTGTAAGTCACTGGTTGAGGCTATTAAATTAATTTTTTTATTAAAATCTATGGGTATACAGGGTGAGATGAAAAAACTGCAACCAACTTCAGACTGCTGTCAATTCTAAGCCACTCGTCCGACAGCTGTTAAAATGTTTCCAGTGACAGCTCATTATATTGTTTACAAGCGCACAAAAGCATTTTGGTGAGAATTTTCCAGAAAAAAAGTTATTCGTGATAGAATTTGGAGTGTGATAGTGGGATTTCTTTATATTCGGCTGGAAAACAACAAGTGGCTACCGTTAGAGCACTCCAGCATTTAAATGTGAATAAGTCTTTTGTTTCTCGTACCATCGCTCGTTACCGTGATACTGGTAACGTAGCCTGACGTCAAGGAAGTGGATGGAAGAAAAAGCGACTTGATCGAAACCTGCTTCGCAGTGGCCAAAAAAGCTGAACATATCGCAATATTCCATTCGGCAAATTTTGAAAAATGAGCTCGGGGTAAAACCTTTGAAATTCCAAAAAGTGCAAGAACTTACACCGCAACAGAAAGAAAATAGACTCAAAAGAACTAAAGAGTTGCTTCGCTTGGCCGAAAGTGATGAACTGCCGAATTTCGTTGTCCAGCAGGTTGTAAACAAACAAAATGATCATGTTTACTTGTCAAAGAGGTCAGCTGAAAATGTGCACCACCAGAACTCAGGCGCCGGTCATGGTGATGGTATGGGCCGCCATAATAGCCGATGGTCATTCTCCGCTCGTATTAATCGACCGTGGCATCACCATAAATGCCGAATGCTATCGCGACAATATTCTGGAGGGTATATTAAAGCCTTGGGCACGCAAACATTTTGGCCGCAGACCTTGGACATTCCAACAGGACTCAGCACCATCGCACTCAGCACGCGTCACCGTAGAATGATTACAAAATGAGGTTCCTCGCTTCACTTCCAGCGCACAATAACCACTAAAATCTCCGGATTCCAATCCGTTGGACTATTGTGTCTGGAGTATTTTGGAAAGCAAGGTTGGCACTAAAAAATACCAAAGTGTCGAACACCTCAAGCAAGCGCTTCGCCGGGAATGGACCAAAATACCGCTGAGCAACATTCGGGCAGCCTGTGACGGTTTCATTTGTCGTTAGAAGGCCATAATTCTTGCCAAAGGTGGCCAATTCGAACAAATCTAAACTTATTCTAAAATTTGATGCTATTTCCGACACTTTTTGCTTTCATTCAATAAAATTTTTAAAAAATGTAAAATTTATGGCGTTTGACTTTGTTGCAGTTTTTTTATCTCACCATATATTAGGATTTCCAAAGTTTGATACAAAATCGGATGATCCTTTCTTGTTCTAGATAGTAAATGTTTTTCTATGAAAATTTTGACGTTTATTGGAAAGGGACCAATTTTTCCCAACTCCGAACTCGATTTATGTTTGAGACAAATATTACGATGTAACAAGCTAGGACCAAATTAGGAGTAACCGCGAGTTATCGTGGGCACCAGCAAGACAGACGGACGGATGGACACCCCTAGATCGACTCCAAATGTCCTGAAACTGGTTTGGTCTACAACCATTATTTCCTTGAGGCACATTTTGGCCTATCAAATTATATATCCCCTTTGTAGCCACATGGCTAAGGGGATAAAAATGTTTTTCAAATTTTGTCAAACTGAAGAAATTGTGCATTTTTAATAACGAACTGTTGAACGAATCTCAAATTTTAAGGAGGACTTTTTGCTGATGAAATATTGAGTACTTGCTCATTTCTTAGCAATTAATTAAATTGTACTATCCCATTTTAAAGATACAGGCTTTACATCACCTAAATGATATGCAATCAATATTTGCATTTCTTCTCAACAAATCATCAATGTAATCCAAGGCTTATCAAAAATATAAACAATATATGGACAATATGGAGGTTATTGTAACAAAAACTTAGTCTTCCGTAAAATACTTTTTTTTTTTAGGCAACAAACTAGGTTCTCAATATAAATATTTGTTTATAACTTTACCATACGAAAAATATCGAATAAAGAATGCAATAGATGGTAGTTATTCTCTATCAATATATTTTGTTATGGGGAGCACAACCTAACACACACACACGCTCACAAACACTATTGACTGGTCTATGTATGGCAAAACCCCACCACACTAACAATGTAGTTTATTTGTAGTGTATAGTTTATGAAGGACCTCTGTTAACTGCTCAATATGTTTACTGTTCCCGGCATACTTCATAATGCATGATATACACCTGAATGTAAGAAACAATAAATTTTATTTGCCTCCTACACACACACTCGCAAAACACCAACACCCACACAATATTCCATTAGCGTTTCCAATAGCTTAGACATAAACAAAAGCCGTAGTAAAAAGTTTCCATAAATATCGATATTTTGCAAAAAAAGTAATACAAACAGGAATATGCTACACCTTTCCAAACAATACACCTTGTAAATAAAAACTATTACCAGTCCACATCCTCTCTTTTAGGGGGAGGCCCTCTCTCTTATTTTCTATTTACAATTATTTAATACCATCGACCATTACAGTTTTTTGTATGAGACCTAGATGTCCACTACTCGAAGCGGCTGTTTTAAACTTTTCGAACGCCAGCATCTTTTTTGCATTAATTATTTTTGTACCTTTTACAGGTGGTTCCGTGAGACCCACAAAAGGTTGGAAGGCCGAACATAAGGCGGCACGTACACTCGGTATTATTATGGGTGTCTTTCTGCTATGTTGGCTGCCATTTTTTCTCTGGTAAGTACAATGAACCGAAAAGTAATTGCTGCTGATGCTGCTGCACAGTGGTTTGAAATGAAAAAAAAATGGTCAGAAAATGGATTACGACAAGCTAGGACGTGCCAATCATAATGCTCAGTACCAAAACTGCCTCAAAGAAGGCTGATTTTCAGCTATTATCTTTAAGCAACGAAATAACGGTTTTAGACCCTAGGTCTCTTTGAACCAAATCCGTTTAAGGATATCTGAAGTCGATCTAGGGTTGTCCGCCCATCTGTCTATCTGGACGTAGCGCACTATAACTCTCGGAAAGGGTATCCGATTTGGTCCAAACTATTTGGTACATCGTAAAATTATTGTCAAACTTAGATCGAGTTCAGATATCGTCAATAAAGAACTACTCCCTCCCACAAAAATCAATTTTCAAAGAAAATAATTTACCTTATAGAACAAGAAAGAATGATCCGATTTTGTACAACTATGCAAATCCTGATATTTTTATCAGTCCTAGATAAAGTGCCAAAATGGACAATAATGGCCCCTACAAAGGGTCAACATTTGGAATGATTATAACTCTTATAAAATGTGAAATAAGAATCAGATTGTCTTCAAATTGCACGCATTCCAATATTTGTATTAACACAAGATCTGATGTGAAGATTAGATATGTCGGTCCGCTCCTTCTAGTACCTCCCGCACAAAGGATCGAAATTTTGAATATTTAGGTCATAAAACACGAAACTAACATTCGATTTTATTCAGACTTACATCTACGTACATCTAAATATTTCTATCAACACAAGATCTTTTTCAAAGATGGTAAAGATCGGACCATTTCTTCTGGTAGCTCCCCCACAAAGGGTCAACATTTTGAATACCCATGTATATCGAAAAACTTAAAATGAGCATCGGATTTCTTTTCAATTCGGCACATCCTAATATGATCAGTTCTGTTCTATGATCTGTTGTGAAGACGGAAGATATCGGTTCATTCCTTCTAGTTTCTCCCCCATAGTGGGTCAACATTTTGAATACTTTATCTCTCTCTCATAAAAGTAAGAAATAAGCATCTAAACTCTTCAAAGTTCACAAATCCCAATATTTCTACTAAAACAATATCTGGTGTGAACATGGAAATATGTAGGACAACTCCTTCTGGTACCTCCACCACAGCGGGTCGAAATTTAAAATAACCCAAGCTCTCACAAAATGCGACACAAACGTCCGAATACTTCAAAACTGCACAAATTCCAAAATTTCTACTTATACAAGATCCGATGTAAAAATGGAATATGCCGGTTCGCTCCCACGTGTACCTCCCCCACAATGGGTCAAAATTTGGAAGAGCCAAGAAGGTTGTTAAACGCCAAATGAGCATCTGATTCATTCTAAACTTCACACATTCCAATTTTTAGGATAACATAAGATCTTTTACGTAGATGGTAGATATCGGCCTACTCCTTTTGGTACCTCTCCCAAAAGGAGAGAAAAAAACACAACGATCATAAAATGCGAATTGAGCATTCAAATTACACACATTATTTCTTTTAAAACAAGATCTAATGTTAAGATGGAATATATTGAACAACTTCTTCAGGTACCTCCTCCACCAAGGGGTCAAAATTATGAATGATATATATCTTTCATAAAACGCGAAAAAAGCATCTGATAACTTCTGGTATCTCCCCCACAATTGTCCAACATTTTAATAATTCGCATAAAATTGAAAATACAGGGTGAGATGAAAAACTGCAACCAACTTCAGACTACTGTCATTTCTAAGCCACTCGTCCGACAACTTTTGAAATTATTCCAGTGACAGATCATTATATTGTTTACAAGCATACGTTAGAATTTTCGTTATAATTTTCCAGAAAAAAATTCGTGATGAAATTCAAGGGTAATAGTGTGACTTCTATATATTTTGCTGGAAAACCACAAGTGGCTATCGTTAGAGCACCCCAGCATTTAAATGTGAATAAATCTGTTGTGTCTTGCTAACAAAAAAATTATCGAGTTTACTTGCCAAAAAGGTCAGCTGAAAATGTGCATCTTCGGTTGGTCACCAGAACTCAAGCGCCAGCCATGGTGATGATATGGGCCGCCATAACAGCCGATGGTCGCTCTCCCCTCGTATTAATCGACCGTGGCATCAGAATAAATGCCAAATATTATTGCGAAAATATTCTGAAGGGTGTATTAAAGCCTTGCGCACGCAAACATTTTGGCCGCAGGCGACACCCAAGAATGGTTACAAAATGAGGTTCCTCGCTTCATTTCCAGGGCACAATTACCACCAAAATCTCCGGATACCAATCCTATTGTATCTAGAGTATTTTGGAAAGCAAGGTTGGCACTAAAATATACCAAATTGTCGATCATCTCAAGCAAGCGCTTCGCCGGGGTGAATGGGCCAAAATACCGCAGAGCAACACTCGGGCAGCCTGTGACGGTTTCATTGGCCGTTTGAAGGCCGTAATTGATGGCGTTTGACTTTGTTGCTGTTTTTTTATCTCACCCTGTATATGGTACCCCACACAAATTTCAACATTTTAAAAAAAAATATCACATAACTCATAAAATGTGAAGAAAGTATTCGATATAGTCCAAATCTGTCACGTCGTAATATTTATACCAAATTTAGATCAGATACAAAATGAAAAATATTGGGACACTCCTTCGGAACCTTCCAGTGGGTGCATTCAACTTTTGGTCCATGGGCCAAATATAACGGCATCTCCTGATAATTTGAAGAATTCAACCCCAAATTTTAAAGAAAAAAACATAAGTAATTGGTCATTTTAGATTCTCTGTAGGGGCATTTACTTATTCGATTTAAGTTCACTTCTGGTATAAGCGTAGAATTACGGTACCTCCTCCTTCCAACCAAAACAGCGAAAATTTCATATTTCGGATTCTATGTGGTAGATAAATTTGTCATGAAAAAAACAAGTAAAAAAGCAGCTAAGTTCGGCCGGGCTGAACTTTTGATACCCTTCACCATTTGAACGGAATTTGAAAATTTTAAAAAAAATCCGAAAACTACCACTTAATTGAAAACCGCGACACATGGAATATACGAAGACGTGGACCTGTATTCGAAAATTATTGTCATAGGCTGTAGCAACCGTTACGAACTTCAAATACGAAATTCGAAATAATTCCGATAAATAATGTGGCTAAAATCATGAAAATACAGAATATCAGGAGGTACCGTTATATAGGGGCTATACGAAGACGTGGACCTGCATACGCCATAGGCTGTAGTACCAATTGGTATCTTCCAGTACGAAATGAGAAACGATGCCGGTGAATAATGATGCTGATATCATAAAAATACCGAATATCGGGAGGTACCGTTATATGGGGGCTATACGAAGACTTGGACCGGCATACAAACAATTTTGTCATAGGCTGTAGTACCCATTACGAACTTCAAATGCGAAATTATAAATAATTCCGGTAAATAATGTCGCTAAATCCATGAAAATGCCGAATATCGGGAGGTACCGTTATATGGTGGCTATACGAAGTTCTGAACCTGCATACAATTTTTTTTGACATATGTAGGATCTTCCAGTACGAAATTTGAAACGATTCCGGTGAAAAATGGTGCTAAAATCATCATCAAAATATCAAATATCGGGAGGTACCGTTATATGGGGGCTATACGAAAACGTGGACCGATATGCCCCATTAGCGAACTTAACCTGCCTACTGGTAAACTATGCATTTATGCAAAATTTTAGCCTTTTGTCTCAATTCGTTCGAAAGGTAGCGTGATTACAACAGAGAGAAGGACAGACAGACATAGAGACGGACATCGCTAGATCGTCTTAGAATTTTACTCTGATCCAGAATATATATACTTTGTAGGGTCTATTATGAATATATCGAGGAGTTACAAACGGAATGACAAAGTCAATATATACCCTCCATAGAATGGACCCGATCGACCTTATCGTCATTCTATTCATTTACATTATAATTATCCATTTTCTAATCCACTGTGCAGCACCACCTTATTTTCTTTAGTTACGAAACTAATACATTTCACACTACTCGCACTTCATTAGGTACGTGATAACATCCCTGTGCGGTCCTGCATGCCCCTGTCCCGATGTTGTGGTGGCCGTACTCTTTTGGATTGGTTACTTTAATTCAACGCTTAATCCTCTCATTTATGCTTATTTTAATCGTGATTTTCGAGAAGCATTTCGCAATACACTGGAATGTGTTCTGCCGTGCCTGGAGAAACGTAATCCCTACAATGCTTATTATGTTTAGCGGCTGTAAGAAGCGGAGAACACCGGAGGACCATGTGCAACATGTTGGTGGTTATCTTGTCATCGAATACACAAAACAAAAGGGTCTTTTCCCTCCTTTGCTGGAGATAAACGCAACAATGTTCAAGTTACGTTACGTTACGCACACACACACTCACAAACGCTCACTTACATTGGCCACAAACTTATTGGTTATATGTTAGGTGATACCTTTTGATAAAGAAATAAAGGATGAAGTGGAAAGCTGCATCGCAATGACAACGTCGACAACCAACCCCAACCACAACCTCCAACACCTCTACCATCATCATTGCCATCATCAGTTACTCAACCATACGTATGAAACCAACCTAAATGTAAGTGTATAGTTAATCTAAGTGTGATTGTATATGTATTTGTATGTATGTATTTATTTGTTGTATGTATGTTAGTAAGCGACACTCAAGTCGGAAAAAAACCCATAGTTATTCTTATATGAAGCGATAGTAAACTATTTATATGTGATAAATACAAAAACAAAAAAACAATGTAACAGTTCTCTTATATATAGGTGCATATGTGTGAATGTTTAGCGATGTAATTTTAAGTTTTACAAAAAACAACAACACTAAAAAAACAAAGAAAGAAGTACACGGTAAGAATAACAATATTTTCGAATAATATCCACATTTTGTTGATTGGAAAATGAAACAAAGTTTACAAATTGTCTAAAAAATAAATTAAGAAATTTTCAAAACGGTCAAATTTTGATATCAAAAATTATTACAAGAAAAAACCAGCAGATTATGAAAATAAAGCTAACCATTATAGAAAGTCGTAAAGTCGGGCGGGGCCGACAGTATGATACCCTACTACACTTTGTATATTTTAAAGTCCAATGGAACTAATTTATGAGAAAAATATCCTCCTCTGAATCGAACTTTTATTACCTATTTTGTGCACAATTAACTTGAAATCGGATATAGATATATATGGGAGCTATATCCAAACCTGAACCGGTCTCGATAAAAATTTGTCAAAGGTATATCTGTGCTAAATTTGACATATTTCACTGAATATCGTTGTTACGGAGTGCATATTACGGCTGTGGAGAACAAATATAACAAACCGGATGAACAATATATACGGGAGCTATAGCTATATCTGAACCGAATTTCACCAAATTTCTAAACTCAATTTGGACGTAATGCCAAATTCACATTTGGGCTAATATTACATGTTTGGTGTACAATAAAAGCAACATTTGATGATGGGAGCTATATCTAAATCTGAACCGATCTCGATGAAATTTAGCAAAGGTATTTCTGAGCTGTCTTAGATTTTATTCCCCAAATATCGTTGTTACAGAGTGCATATTACGGCTGCGGAAGACAAAAATAACAAATGGGAGCTATAACTCTATGACGGACGAACGGACAGACGGACGGACATTCATAAATCGACTCAAAATGTGATTCTATATAGATCAGGAAAGGAACTATGGGTGTTTCTCGTTTCCTTTTGCGTGGTACAAACAAATGCTCAATGACATAATACCTGACCACTTTGTAGTGTAGGGTGTTATACCCTACACCAAAAAGAAGCTAAGTGCGGCCGGGCCCAACTTTTTATACCCTCCACCAATTGGATGGAACTTAAAAAATTCAACGAAAAAAATCTGTCGAAAAATTCCGTTCAAATAAAAACCTTTATATGTGGGCTATACGAAGACTTGGTGCTGGATAAGTAAATTTCTGTCATAGGCTATAGTACCGATTCCGAACTTCAAATACGAAATTTGGTGAATATCATATAATACCGAATAAAGGGAGGTACCGTTGTATACTAAGAGGTCGAACTGCATAGAGAAATTTCCGCCATAGCTTGAAGAACCCATTACGAACTTCAAATATGAAATCTGACGCAATTCCATTGAATAATGTTGCTAATATCCGGGAAATACCAAATATCTCGGGGTAGCGATATATGGGTGCTATACTAAAACGTAGACCTACGTAGACAATTCTCTTTCAGGGGTAAAGTACTCAGAGAGAACTCCTTGTGTGGATTTTCAGACTATTCTATTGAAAAATGTGGCTAAAATCATCAAAACACCGAATATCGGGGTCTATACGATATTGTGGATCTATACAGAAAATTCCCTTTCAGGGGGTAAAGTATTCGCAGAGAACTTCTTGTGTAGAATTTAAAACAATGCCATTGAAAAATGTGACTAACATCATTAAAATACCGAATGCCGAGAGGTACAGAGATATACGATATCGTAGATCTATATAGACAATTCTCTTTCAGGGGGTGGAGTTCTCGGAAGAAACTCCTTGCGTGGATTTTAAGGAAATTCTATTGAAACATGTGGCTAAAATCATTAAAATACCCATTATCGGGGGCACCGTTGTATGGAGGCTATACGATATCGTGGACCTATATAGACAATTCTTTTTCAGGGAATTATGGACTCACAGAGAACTCCTTATGTAGAATTTCAGACAATTCCATTGAAAAATGGGCCTAAAATTATCAAAATACCGAATATCGGAAGGTACCGTTTTATTGGGACCTTACGATACCGTTGACCGATATAGCCCATATTCGAACTTGACCTATCTGCACACAAAAGACTTATCTGCGCAAAATTTTAGCTTCCTATCTTAATTCATTTTGACTCTAGCGTGATTATAACAGATGGACGGACGGAAAGGATCGTCTTAGAATTTCAAATCGTCTTAGAATTTCACGCTGGTTAAGAATATATATACTTTGTTGGGTCTACAATTATTATTTCGATGAGTTACAAACGAAATGACGAACTTAATATACCCTCCATACTATGTATGGTTGAGGTTATAAAAAGCAAAGACTTCATTTTCACTTTTAGTACACAATTTCGAATATAATATTATTAAAAGCTATTCCACTTAGATGTATAGTTTATTTTGAAATTTATAGTAAAATTTGGTGTAGAATATTTCTTCTATTAACACCTTCTGCCTAAAGCGAAATCGTATGTTACTTTCAGGTGTCAAATCGAAGAAAGGAAGAAGAAAATTTGATCAAAAAATGTTTGTTTTTTTAGAACATTGATGCTAATATTTTTTTGATATGCAGTTGAAATATGAATTTCTTTTCATTGGTGACTTATAGTGAAATTTGATGAGGAATGTCTCTGCCTTTGATGTCATCCTTTCAAAATAATGTTTTTAGCAGCATTTTGCATAAAGTCACCTGAAGTACGGATTAAATTTAACATGTGTTTTTAATGTTTGTAAATTTCTGGCATTTGGATAAGATTTAGACTCTTGATGTCTTCTTGAAGGTTAAAATTAAAAAAAAAAGTAGTCCTAATATTTGTATCTGTAATATTGCCAAAGATACTGCCTACGATAACCCGATCCCAAGGAATCTTAATCCAAAAATTTCAAAAAGTGTGGAATAGGGGTAACTTTCCCTCTATTTTTTTGGTTTCTTTACGATGTAAACTTTTAAAACCCCGATACAAGTGTCTTATTTATTTTAGCTCATTTCTCATAATTTGCTGGATTTTTTTCTATAATTAGTGAAAAATTTGAATTTTGTCTGGATTTTACCTATTATAATTTTTCTGTCGCACAGTGTAATCCGCGTTTCCTTCTAAGTAATGTTTGCGAAGACACTATATACCTAAGATGACCGGATTCCTAAGATGACAAGGAATCTTAATCCAAAAATGTCCAAAATTGTGGAATAGGGGGGAATTTACCCCCTCTATTTTTGGTCGCTTTACGATGTGAACTTTTAAAAAGCCGATACGCGTATTTTCTATTTTTAGCAAACTTTTCATAATATTCTGGATTTTTTCTGGAATTTAAAAAAAATTAATTTTGTCGCACAGTGTAATTTACATTATTCGTATTTTTAAAAATGTAAACAAGTGGATGTTATTCAATATATTGTTATATCACATAGTGTTGTTGCTTTATATTTACTCATGTTATTTAGTATTTAAAGCAATATTTATTTAAGATATTTATTTTTTTGTAATATTTATTTAAGATGATATTATTTTTTAACATTATTGACAAATAATGTTATATGCAAACATTTATGCATACATTTTACATATTTATCAAAACGAAAAAAAAAGAAAAATACACACACACACACTTGTTACAATTCCAATACATTTTATAAATTTTTTGTTGAAGGGTTACTGTTGTTTTTTTTTTTTTTTTTATTTTTAATATATTTTTATAAATAACTCGATATTAAGAAATTAAAAAAATATATATGTAAATGTATCATAGTTTTTATTGTTTGTATATTTATAACTACTTATTTGTAGAGTCAATAACAGGTCAATGAGGATATAAAATTCTACTAAGCAACATTTTTAAGATGTTTTAACTTAAAAATGTTGCTCATTTTTTTAAATTGAATATCGAGATAAATGGATCCATGTTATGCGCGTTTTGTACTAGCGGTAGAATATATTCAAAATATAATTTTTTCTGCAGTGAATTTTCGCGAATATTTAAGAAAATAAGCTATAATGGTGGATTAGGTTCACAAAATCTGCATGGAATATCTAGGTAATAATTATAGATTTTTACGAATAAATAAAAAAGCTGCAATCGTGGATTTGTTGTATGGTTTTTGCAATGGAAATAAGACAAAAATCGTGTATTGTTGTAAATACTTTTTTTTGAAATCGTGAAAATTTCAAATGTCCTTTTTTCAAATGAAATTCAGAATATTTTTATATTTTCTCTTATAATTCTGGGTTATTAAGAATATTTTAATAGAGTCTTAAAAGACAATAAAGAAACAGCGCTACAATCGTGAAGTTAAAAAAACACTTTAAAAGAGAAATTCAGGACATAATTGTCAATATTTTAACTGCAGGATGAAGTAAAAACCTGCAACAAAGTCAAACGCCATAATTTTTATACTTTTTTTAAATTTTATCGAATGAAAGCAAAAAATGTCGGAAATAGCATCAAATTTTAGAATAAGTTTAGATTTGTTCAAATTGGTCACCTTTAGCATGGTCTAGTCATTCTCGAGATATAAGCATTCTAGTTTGTATATATACATTGTATATATTTCGCTATATATATCCGATATATTTACTATCAGCATCAACGTAACGGTCAGAATTGACCTGTTCGTCTATTTGTGGTTTCGCCGGGATTAAAAATATTCGCGGTTTAATGGAAAATTTGACTTTTATTTAATACAAATTTTATTTTTCACCACTAAAGGCCGCTTCGATTGATCTATAATTGTGACCTGTAGAGCAACTGCAAAATAAGGAATTTTTTCAGTTTTTGATCCATTTCAAACCCTAAATATTATGCGAAGATCTCTCATATTCTGGCTCTAACCCTACCTCCGTTCTAAATTTCGTGAAGATCGGGCCATAATTGCGACCTGTAGAGTGATTACAAATTGACATATACAGACGGACGGACGGACATACATAGCTAGATCGACTCAGCTCGGCGAGATAGGAAAATCCATAGATACTTTCCTATGTGGGTAACCAATATTTCGAGGAGTTAGATAATTGTTGGCCCAATCAAACAGATTTCTTTTCTTTGGTGACTTATAGACAAATTTGATGAAGAATATTTTTGTCTTTGACATCATCCTTCTACAATGATGATTTGTTGTAGATTTTTGCTCAAACTCACACAAAGTACGGTTTTAGGGTTAATAAAATGTCTTTTAATAT